AATCCACTGCCAAGACCACATCACGCGGGTGCCCCGACAGCTCCGACTTGGCATCGTTTCTGGGCTGGCTGGTTGGGATGCGCGAAGCGTCTGCGAACGTGCTCCTGTGTTTGGCGCTGTTCCCATGCCTCCTTCTCTCCCTGGCATTTGCAGGCGTCTTGATGTCACTCCCGTCATCCTGGGGCCTTTCCCCTCCAATGCTTTTCTCGCCTACTGATTCCTTTCCTCGTGATTCGGGCTCATAGCACCCCCCAACCCGTCACCTCTGGAGCCGCTGGCTTTGTCTACCAGCGTACTGCGCGCAGGGTAAATTATGCTAACGGAGTTCCCCACATAAAGAGATTAACGGTTTCGTGGGACCCATTTTCTTGATGCCCTCCTCGCTTTGGCGGGGCCCCGCTGGAAGGGGGGAGGGATACGAAACCTGGCGAAGAGTAATTCCCCACATCCTGAGTGGGGTTCTTGTTTTCCCAGAACACCCTCTCCTTCTCCTCCTCCTCCCGCGTCCTTCTCCTAAACCATACCATACCAAGCCATACCATACCAATACCTTACCATACCAATACCATACCAAGCCATACCAAGCCATATCATATCAATACCATACCATACCATACCAATACCATACCATACCATACCATACCAAACCAATAACATCCCAAGCCATACCAAGCCATACCATACCAATACCATACCATACCAATACCATACCATGTTATTTCTCAGGTTTCGTGCCCCTCCCACCCCTCCAGGGAGGCCCCGCCTGAGCGAGGAGGGTATTCGCATCACCTGTTATTTATCAGGTTTCGTGCCCCTCCACCCCTCCAGGGAGGCCCCGCCTGAGCGAGGACGCTATTCGAACACAGTGTTATTTATCAGGTTTCGTGCCCCTCCCACCCCTCCAGGGAGGCCCCGCCTGAGCGAGGAGGGTATTCGCATCACCTGTTATTTATCAGGTTTCGTGCCCCTCCCACCCCTCCAGGGAGGCCCCGCCTGAGCGAGGAGGGTATTCGCATCACCTGTTATTTATCAGGTTTCGTGCCCCTCCCACCCCTCCAGGGAGGCCCCGCCTGAGCGAGGAGGGTATTCGCATCACCTGTTATTTATCAGGTTTCGTGCCCCTCCCACCCCTCCAGGGAGGCCCCGCCTGAGCGAGGAGGGTATTCGAATCACCTGTTATTTATCAGGTTTCGTGCCCCTCCCACCCCTCCAGGGAGGCCCCGCCTGAGCGAGGAGGGTATTCGAATCACCTGTTATTTATCAGGTTTCGTGCCCCTCCCACCCCTCCAGGGAGGCCCCGCCTGAGCGAGGAGGGTATTCGCATCACCTGTTATTTCTCAGGTTTCGTGCCCCTCCCACGCTCCAGGGAGGTCCCGCCTGAGCGAGGAGGGTATTCGCATCACCTGTTATTTATCAGGTTTCGTGCCCTTCCCACCCCATCCAGGGAGGCCCCGCCTGAGCGAGGAGGGTATTCGCATCACCTGTTATTTCTCAGGTTTCGTGCCCCTCCCACCCCTCCAGGGAGGCCCCGCATGAGCGAGGAGGGTATTCGCAAACCATGTGATAGAAAAGGATGGAGAGGGCGAGGGCAGGTCGGCAATTTCTCTACAAAATGTTGCTTGATCCCGCTAGCCCAAAAACATCATTATGTGGGGAACTCCGTTAGCATAATGCTTTCCGCGACCCTCCTCGCTCAGGCGGGGCCTCTCTGGAGGGGTGGGAGGGGCACGAAACCATGTAAATAGTATGGTATTCCGATACCCTCCTCGCTCAGGCGGGGCCTCCCTGGAGGGGTGGGAGGGGCACGAAACCATGTAAATAGTATGGTATTCCGATACCCTCCTCGCTCAGGCGGGGCCTCCCTGGAGGGGTGGGAGGGGCACGAAACCATGTAAATAGTATGGTATTCCGATACCCTCCTCGCTCAGGCGGGGCCTCCCTGGAGGGGTGGGAGGGGCACGAAACCATGTAAATAGTATGGTATTCCGATACCCTCCTCGCTCAGGCGGGGCCTCCCTGGAGGGGTGGGAGGGGCACGAAACCATGTAAATAGTATGGTATTCCGATACCCTCCTCGCTCAGGCGGGGCCTCCCTGGAGGGGTGGGAGGGGCACGAAACCATGTAAATAGTATGGTATTCCGATACCCTCCTCGCTCAGGCGGGGCCTCCCTGGAGGGGTGGGAGGGGCACGAAACCATGTAAATAGTATGGTATTCCGATACCCTCCTCGCTCAGGCGGGGCCTCCCTGGAGGGGTGGGAGGGGCACGAAACCATGTAAATAGTATGGTATTCCGATACCCTCCTCGCTCAGGCGGGGCCTCCCTGGAGGGGTGGGAGGGGCACGAAACCATGTAAATAGTATGGTATTCCGATACCCTCCTCGCTCAGGCGGGGCCTCCCTGGAGGGGTGGGAGGGGCACGAAACCATGCAAATAGTATGGTATTCCGATACCCTCCTCGCTCAGGCGGGGCCTCCCTGGAGGGGTGGGAGGGGCACGAAACCATGTAAATAGTATGGTATTCCGATACCCTCCTCGCTCAGGCGGGGCCTCCCTGGAGGGGTGGGAGGGGCACGAAACCATGTAAATAGTATGGTATTCCGATACCCTCCTCGCTCAGGCGGGGCCTCCCTGGAGGGGTGGGAGGGGCACGAAACCATGTAAATAGTATGGTATTCCGATACCCTCCTCGCTCAGGCGGGGCCTCCCTGGAGGGGTGGGAGGGGCACGAAACCATGTAAATAGTATGGTATTCCGATACCCTCCTCGCTCAGGCGGGGCCTCCCTGGAGGGGTGGGAGGGGCACGAAACCATGTAAATAGTATGGTATTCCGATACCCTCCTCGCTCAGGCGGGGCCTCCCTGGAGGGGTGGGAGGGGCACGAAACCATGTAAATAGTATGGTATTCCGATACCCTCCTCGGGCAGGCACCCATGTAAATAGTATGGTATTCCGATACCCTCCTCGCTCAGGCGGGGCCTCCGTGGAGGGGTGGGAGGGGTGGTATGGTATGCTATGGTATGGTATGGTATGGTATGGTATGTGTGGTAGGAACTATGGTATGGTATGGTGTGTGTGGTAGGAATAATCTTGTGCTGTATGGAAGATGGAGCGGGAGGTGGGTGGGAAGGAGAGGGTGTTCTGGGAAAACAAGAACCCCACTCAGGATGTGGGGAAAAAGTCATCACGAGAAACTGCGCACGCGTAAGATAAATTCAATGACTTCGAAACGCGCTGACGTATCAAGCCCTGCGAATGCACATTCGACCCCCGAACCTCCCTCCGCCGCCATATCTCCCAAAGCCGTTGTGAGTGCTGGGGGCCACACATGTGAAAAAAATGGGCTGTCGTTTTCTGCGACGACCAGACTTGAGGCGACGACGACGACAGCGAATCCCTGCGTTTGCCTCTGCCCATCCTTCAAGACCAGCTATGCACCTACCGCGTTCTGCCAGCTGCCAGCACCTTCAAAGAGAAAACTGCACTAGCATAAACATTAGCATAAACATTCGGAGATCCGCGCGCAGATTTCTTGGACCGGGACTGGACACCTCACTTGGCGCGAGGAGCGCGTCAAAGCGGTGTCGGAGTCACTGCCGGGGGGCCCAACGCCGATCCAAGGAATCCGCGCGGCCCTCCGAAAGCTTATCCTTTTTATGTGTTGTTGTTTTATTCGTTCGTTGCACCTGGACCGCTCGATTGGATCCAATCGGGCCACTGACCCGACGATTGGCACGCCCGAAATGGGTACGGAGAGAATGGATACGATGTCCAACAGCAAATGCTCTCTCCAAAACCACAAGCGGCCACTGTTGGGCCGGCGACTTTGTATCTGAAATGAACTACGTCCGCGGCGACACCGACAATGAATCCTGTTCAAAATGGACAGGAAGTGCTGTCGGTCTACGTACAGTCGGGCAGCTGAAATGAGGCATGCTAATGAAGGAACGAAGCCCCTTTTCTGCACCAGCGAAGCCTTGGTGCACGAGGCGAGCTAGAGGAACGGCCACGGAATGACCCAAAGAGCAGCGAGCCCCTTCCGAACCCAAAGAGCGGTCCTCGTTTCAGCGTCTTGGCTGCACCCAGTCTTGGAAGCCTGGAACTGGGCACCAACACCAACACAGGGGGTTGCCTCCACAGGGGGAAGATGATCCTAGAGTTCGGTGTTGGTGGTAATGTTTCGGCCACCTGGGAAGCCAGGATATTACCACCATCACTGACACGGGGATCTTCTTCCCTCGGCGGAGGCACGCCGCCGACGTTGGTGCTGGTGCCAACATCGAGGCCTGCGACCTTCTCTCCGCACCCGCTGCCGATCCCACCGAGACGGGCCTGCCTCTGCCCCGCGGCGTGGCCGCGGCGCCTCCCGCGGGGCATCGCCGCCCGCCGCCCGCCCGGCGGCCGGCGCCCGCAGCTCGTGCACCGCGAACACGCCGCCGCAGCCGCCGAAGCGCGTGTTCGGGGCCCCGAAGACGACCTGCGCATCGGTTTGCAGCTTCGACCTCCTCCTCCTCCTCCTCCTCCTCCTCCTCCTCCTCCTCCTCCTCCTCCTCCTCCCTCCTCCCTCCCTCCCTCCCTCCCCTCCCTCCCTCCTCCTCCTCCTCCTCCTCCTCCTCCTCCTCCTCCTCCTCCTCCTCCTCCTCCTCCTCCGCCGCCGGCCTGCGGCGGCCAGCGGGGCCCACGGCGGCCGGCGGGGTCGGGGGCCGGCGGCGGCGGCGAGGAAGAGGACGGCCACGCAGAGGACGCCGACGCAACGGAGGAGAAGGTCTGTGTAGCGTTGGCTCCCTTCATGGTAGTTTGTCGAGGTCGGGTGGGTTCATGAGCTCTCCTGTCCCTGGAGGTCGGTGCTGGTGAAGGTCGGGGGCGCACCTTTATGATCATGACTCTGGCGCGCGGACCGCACCTGCGATTGGTGAGGAGATGGTGGTGGCCCTCTTGTTTAGATTACTTTCATCAGCGACAGCGCAACTCACCCGAGCAAGCGTGAGATCCCTGAGCTTGCTCCATCAAACATGCAATCGAGTATTATTGAACCGCAGATTCGAAACGCGCGTGGCCATACAAAAAGGCGGCGAGAGAGCGAGGAGAAGGAGGACGAGGAGCAGAAGAGGAACACACTTCGAAACCAGAGTTCACGTTTCGTCCTCGCAATCGTACCATTCATCCTATACTTGGTATTACCATGAGTAGGCTTACCCATTATCCTCCCTCCTCTCTTATCCTTCCACCTCAAGCGCTTCATCCTCCCCTTCCTCCTCCTCCTCCTCTCAAGGCCCCAAGCCGTTCCCTGGGTGACGCATCAATTCTTAAAACGCACTGTGGTGCTAGCTGCTTATCCTGCAGTGCGAATCACCATCGTCATCCTCCCCATGAACAAAATCATCATCATCATCATCATCATCATCATCATCATCATCATCATCACCATCATCATCACCATCATCACCATCATCATAATCAGCATCAGCATCATCAGCATCACCATCATCATCATCAGCATCATCATCATCATCGTCATGATCTGTTAGCCGTGTTGGCTCATGCGTGGCTGCTCGAGCGCAGGCGGCCTTGGCCAGGGAGCTCGCGGCACAAGGCAGTGAGCCAGGCTGCGCCACTCGCTGCTCCGCCAGGCATGGGCGCGGGAAAACCAATCGTGGAAAACGACCAGCTTTCGTGGGAAAACTAGTCGTGGGAGGCATGTCAGAAGACCACGGACGTTCTTAAACTCACAGAAAAGAAGTAAGTGTGGAAGCTCAACGCAGGAATGCCTTGGCGAAAACCGACCAGCACCACTGATTCCAGCACGGTGCCAGCAAGAGCCGACCGTGACCAGCTTCACAAGCGCCACCGCAGCGGGCTGTACTAGTTCGGGCGACCCCATCCACTTCGGGGCACCCCGCTCCTGCTACGCACGCCGCTTCCAGGGGGAGCGATCATGCTGCTAGAAGCTCTGCATAGGAAGGTCTTGCCGCCTACCCTGGAGCAGCAAGGGGCAACAAACACGGCGGCTGCTGCCTCGATTGCAGGCGGCATCACGACCGAGCCACTGAGAATACCGGCAGCGATCTCGCAGACTTCACCAGCTTTTCCCCCCAGGCCGACCAAAAAGAGAAAGAAAGAGGTGACCCAGGTCACGACCATGTGCATTACCAGCCTGGAACATCTCACAATCTCTATGATTGGCATCGCCTTATCTCGATACCAAACTTAAGAATTCCCTCAGATTCATCATAGCGTATCTCAATATTGTCAATCTTGGGGATAGGGAAGTTTGAGGCTGCTGAGTGTAAGAACTGCGGTAGAAAGGCGGCCAACCCGTTGCTGGCGCGCACCGTTTTCTCGACAGCCGGTTGCCCCTTCAGCGTATGCAGTATCACGTGTGCTATGCTGTTCAACGCGCAAACAAGCAGAGTCGAAAACGAGGTGGACGAAGATGAATCCACACTGCACTCATCAATGATTACGGGGTGTCAGCAGAAGCCCGTTCCGGTCAGGGATGGAGAGGTCAAAAGAAGTTCGTTCCAGCCAGTGGCGAGAAGAGGCTGGCTGGTCGCGGCCATCTAGTAGTCCAGCAAGTACGTTACATAGCGTAACTTTTTGGATGCCATGACAACGGACACCCTAACAATCCTATCATTGAATCAAGAAAATGTATAAAATGTAGGAAAGATGTTCTAATAATGATTAAAACATCTTGTTCACATGTTTACGACATTATTAAAAACATGTTAGACGTCTCGGTACAATTTGGCAACATTCTCCCTCTCCAGTGATCGTTGTTCACCAGCGTGGCTGAGTAGCCCAATCACTTGGACAGTGCATGGCATTCTCTGCAGAGGCGCACGCGCGCCCTCCCCTCCCACGGGCATCACTCGGAAGCGGCCAAGAGGGGGGTGTCCAAGAGGGGGGGGTGCTAATCATGACTGGCGGCACGTGCGCGGCCCAGCGGGGGGGCCAGGGACGTAATGAAATAAGAAGCGGCGCCACGAGATCTGGGGAAATATCATGGCCCCCGCCATGATATCCACCCCCCCCTAGTCATCACCCCCCTCTTTTCCGCCCCCGACCTCCCACGGTCATCACAGGGGCGGGAGGGCAGCGCCGAGCCTAGCCCGTCCGAGGCGGACTTCCACTCCGGGCCCGGCTCGCCCGGGGTAGGAGACGAGGAAAGTAAGACCAGCCTTGTCGAAGGGAAACTGGGTCACACAAATAAATACACACAAATAAAAAGATTCCCCATATGTTCCTATATTTTCTGGGTTTTTGTCTTCCCCACCACTTCCCATATGTTCCCATATTTTCTGGGAAATCGACGATTAATTGTGTCTGTGTGTGTTTTTTCCCTCCTGACTTATCTCGATACCACCCAATCATTTACCCCCCCCCCTTCGTGTAGGTCGGGCATGTCCTGCTACAGGCGGACCTTGGACGAAGAATTAAGGATACTCAAAAGAGACTCAAAAAGTAGTCTAAGATAGTCCGAAAATCGTCCCTGGGGCATGTTCCTATTATTTTTGAAGATTCCCCCTGTAGAGGGACACGCCCGATTCAACCCCAGTTCGGCGGCGCGCACAAGGAGGGTGGCGCGAGAAGGAAGGCCTCCCGAGGCGGCGCGCCTCTCAAGGGCAGGGGCGGCCTTCCCAGAAGAGCCCAGAGGCTGCGAAAGAAGGCTTCCTGGAAGCCTGGAGGGCTTCTAAGAAGGCCCCTGTCTTCTTAGCTCCCCTGCCTTTTCATCGGGGGCGGCCAAGAGGGGGGCGTCCAAGAGAAGGGGGGGGCGCAGATCATGGCCGGCGGCGCGTGCGCGGCCCAGGCGGGGGGCCAGGGACGCAATGGAAGAAGAAGAGGCGCCATGAAATCTGAGGAGCTATCATGGCCCACGCCACGGTACAACCCCCCCCCCCTAGTCATCACCCCCCTCTTTGCAGCCCCCGATTCTAAGAAGGCTGCCCCCCTCGCGCTACCCCCTTGTGCGCGCCGCCACCTAGGTGGCCCTGGGCAGGGGGTGCCTCGGTGATCTCCAGCGGCCGCAGCTCTCTGCTTTGCCCCATTCGCTTGCCCCCTTCGATCGCCGAGCTGGGCCGCGGCGCCGTCGCTCGAGACAAGCGCGGATGAATGAGGTGGCCTTTGCTCAGCATCCAACTGGACTGGGACTACACCAACCGTACCGTCGACCCCTCCGTCCCAGACTACGCTCGGAAAGCCTTCCTCCGACTCAACAACCCTGCGCCCACAAGCCCCCTCCGCAGTGCATCACGACTTCACGCATCTCCTCGGTACACATGATGGGTCTCGCCACTGAACACAGTTCGTCCAGCTTCTGCTCCTCAGCGGTGCCCTGGCAGATGGCCCTGTAGAACGCCCTTGGATATACCTGGCGGAGCTTCACCTTGCCGCCCGCCTTGTCTGCATGCCTGCGCATGCCCGACACTCCATGTCGACTGCTGCACTTCTTGGTCAACCTCTTCAGCACCTCCCCAGAATTGTGTATAACCCGGGTCTCCTGTTCCGCCAGCGCCTCGCCCGCGTCGTCGTAGCAGACGGTGAAGCGGCTCGCGGGTTTCGGCCTCCCGGGGCCTTTTTCGAGCCCGTGGGCCCTCGGGAGGAGGAAGAGAAGGAGAAGGGACTGAGGAGGAGGAGGAGGAGGAGGAGGAGGACTGGAGGGAGCAGAGGAGGAGGAGGGGACTGAGGAGGAGGAGGAGGAGGAGGAGGAGGAGGACTGGAGGGAGCAGAGGAGGAGGAGGGGACTGAGGAGGAGGAGGAGGGAGGAGGAGGAGGAGGAGGAGGAGGAGGGGGGCGGCGGGGGCGGCGGAGGCGGCGGCCCAGGGCCACGCCAGGTGGGACTCCTCCTCCTCCTCCTCCTGCCTGCCTGCCTGCCTGCCTGCCTGCCTGCCTCTGTCGCTCCCTGGCTGCCTCGGCCGCGCGCTTTCCCCACCCCCCACCCCACGACGCCGCCTCGGGCACGCCGAGGTGCTGCAGGGCCCCCGCGCACATGATGCACCTGGCTCCCGCGGGGCAAGGGCCCTGGGGCCCGCCGCTCCCCCGGAGGAGGAGGCCTCTACCAGGTTACCAGAAGAGGAGGGGGAGGAGGCCTCTCTCAGGGGGAGGAGGAGGAGGAGGAGGAGGAGGAGGAGGAGGAGGAGGGAGGAGGAGGAGGAGGAGGAGGGGAGGATATATCGGGCTGAGGAGGAGGAGGGAGGAGGAAGGAGGAGGGAAGGAGGAGGAGGAGGCGGCCTCTCTCTCTATCTCTATATCTCTCTCTCTCTCTCGGAGGAGGAGGAGGAGGAGGAGGAGGAGAAGAAGGAGGAGGAGGAGGAGGACTGCCTCTCTCAGAGGAGGAGAGGCCTCTCCCACACCTCCTCGCGCCGTGACAGTAGTCATGACTCATGCTGGCCGCGTTCGGCTCCTGGAGAGACCCCCACCGGGCCCCAAAACTTGAGGGATGAAACAACGACCCTACCCTGGGTTACAAATGCGTGGTCTGTAAACCTCCTGGGAACCCCCAAAGCCTAGAGCCGCCAGGACGCGGCACATCACGCAGGGTTTCCCCTGTCAGCCCACAGGAGTTTCAGCGCACAGCGCCTCGTAAACCAGGGTACGGGCGTTTTTGTTCTGCCCCTGAAAAACCGCATTAAAAAAGGCTGCGCAGGATGCGAAACAACCCCAAAGGAAATGGTCGGGACTCCCCCAAGGAGCCCGTACTGAACAAACCGTTGCATCGGAGATCTGGAAGCGGAAGCAGGAGAAGGAGGAGGCGTCGAGAAATCAGGAGAGAAGGGGGAGGCAGAAGACCCGAAGCGGAGACGGAGGAGGCGGAAAGGCCTCTTGCCGTCCACGTTCAAAAAACGATAGGGTCTGCCTGGGTTCCTCTGGAAAGCCCTGGGATACATCAGGGGATACCTCAGGATTCCGAGGATGATCCCATGGGCAGGCACACTAGACGTCCCGCAGGATTCTTGTGACAAAAAACAATATTAGATACTGATGGATTTCCTCCAGACTCTACAGGGAGACCTCGGAACTTTGGAGATCCGTAGGCCCACGAGCGAAATCCTTAGGATTCCATCTATTTCCTTCGGGAATCTAAACAGAGCGGGAACGAATTCATTGGACTCCTTTGAATTCCCCCAGGGTTCCCAAAGAAATGGGGACGATCCTTCAGGAGCCCCTACAAATTCTTAACCAAGTCTTGGGACGTCGGGAGGTATCCTTGCGAATGCGCACGAAGCCCTGAAAGCCCCTCGGGGAACCCTCCAAATTCTGAACGACGGACTGCTGAGGACGTCGCCGTGAAATCCTTCGGGCTGCTGCGATGAAATTCGGGAGCGGCCAAGAGGGGGGTGTCCAAGAGGGCGGAGTGCAAATCATGACCGGCGGCATGTGCGCGGCCCAGCGGGGGGGCCAGGGACGTAATGAAATAAGAAGAGGCGCCATGACATCTGGGGAAATATCATGGCCCACGCCATGATATCCACCCCCCCTAGTCATCACCCCCCTCTTTTCCGCCCCCGAGGAGTGGAAAAGACATCCTTCTCCCGGGCCTCCCAGATGGGGTCCAAGCAGATCGTGCCGGAGGATCGCGCCGCATCGCCGATGCATCGGCGATGCGGCTCGCTGAGGGACCCGATTTCCTCCAAGCCGACGGCGCCAGTGCCTCGCCGACGTCGCCCATGCATCGCCGATGCGGCGCGATCATCCGACCCCATCTGCTCGGACTCCCATCTGGGAGGTCTCGAACCTCTGAATATCAAGAATATACTTATCTCCCAGGTTAACAAATCCTCTGGTCCGAAGTCAGTGGGGAAATTGCATGCTTCAAGTGATCCAGACCTTTGCGCAAAGTCAACCTGGAATCGAAACTGCGTACGCTGCCCAGCTCCCCAGGGCGGAAATTCGGGCAGTTACAAAGTGAGCGTTTTCTGAATCGGCGTTTCGACACTGGGCGGAAAGGAGGATGAAGGGGGGGTCTGACTGCAGACCTCTGCTTGATGCGAATGTTTGCAACAGTGCGTCCTATTGATTGGGGAGGCTCCACCTGCTCGAGACAGGCGCCAAAAACAGCCAAGATCCACTCCATTGGAGGGGGCGAGGGCCCGCGCCCATCGGTAAAACCATGAATAAGAGAACGATCACCATCGAAGAATCTCCTGAGAAATAAGAGAACGATCACCATCGAAGAATCACTATGAAAAAGATCACCTCAAGGGGACTGCTTCGAAGAATCTCCTGGGGAAGGCCCCTTCAGGAACAATCCCGAAGCGCAAGGGCTCCGCCCGCAGGCCAACTTGGGCCAGAGGGAGGCGCCGAAGCGCCCCCCGTCTTCCGCGCGCGCTTCTGCGGAGCCCCACGCGGAGAGCTCCGCCGGGGGCGCTGAATCCTCCTCCTCCTCCTCCTCCTCCTCCTCCTCCTCCTCCTCCTCCTCCGCCTCCTCCTCCTCCTCCGTCTCCTCCTCTCCTCCTCTCGCCCCTTCCTCCTCCTCCTCCTTCCTTTCCTCCTCCTCCTCCCTCCTCCTCCTCCCCTCCTCCTCCTCCTCCTCCTCCTCCTCCTCCTCCCTTTCCTCCTCCTCCTCCTCATCCTCCTCCTCCTCCTCCTCCTCCTCCTCCTCCTCCTCCTCCTTTTCCTCCTCGTCCTCGTCGTCGTCCTCGTCATTTTCCTCCTCCTCACCGTTTTTCGTCGGCCAGCGGATCCAAACGGCCTGAAACATGGAACGAGGCCCCTTTTTCTCAATAAGTTGAACTTCGAGTTCCAACTGAAAACCGCCAAGAAAACCTGGGACGAACTGCGCAACAAGTAAGGGAATACCGAGACCCTCCCCAACGAGAAAGACTCCTTGTTCAGCGGCCCGCCTGCAGCAAGTGGAGGCGCGGACGGGAGAGGGAAGGACCGAAGGGGCAGAAGCGGAGGGGGGGGGAAGAAAGCGCGCGGTGGGAGGGCCCTCGGAAAGCGCGCGGATCTTCGAGGACGACGCGCGGCTCGCCCAACGCACAAGACAAGACAGAGGAGGCGCAGGCCGCCCCGGCGCGTGGACTGGACGCGGGCAGGCCGCATCGGCGCGTGGGTTGGAGGTGAGCGACCTTGATGTCGCCCGCCTCTTCGTTGGCTCGGCGATACGCGGAAGGCCCCGACGAGCTGTCGTTCTCGCCTGACGTGCGCTCATCGGGCGCGCTGCTCGCTCCGGGAAGGACGAGGACGCGGGGAGCTGAGGAACAGAAGCAGGAGGGGGAAGGCCGAGGACGAGGACGAGAACGAGGGAAGGACGAGGGAAGAATGGGGGAAGGACGAGGGCGAGGGCGAGGGCGAGGACGATGGGGAGGGGGAAGAGTGGGGAATAACCAAGGAGGGCGCGCAGACTGTGGATGGACAAACGAGGAAGGATGGAGGAAAAAGATTAGGGGTGATTGAGGAGGGGCGGTGATGCGGAAGGATCCTGAGGGGACGAAAGACGATGAAGATGAGGACGATGATGATGATGATGGCGATGCTGCTGATGATGATGATGAT